CTCTCACACACACATGATATTTTGAATGATATACACTGATCACAGAACCCTTCACAGTGACTTGGTTGAGCAACCACATCATTTCACGAAGTCTTGCTGGATAACTCTGCGTATGTGACAAATTATCTTTGTATCATTCTATATTAATGGAAAGATCACATAATGATTGTCAATGTTTGTTTGTCATGTTTTACAGCATTCTACGCGTTTTCGGTCCTAGCCTGATGCAGAGCAGTTCTGCCGGGATGAGGGGTCCTGCTGCAGTTTCACCAGTAAAGAAAATTACTCGTTACAATTCACTTGGAGGACCCATCCCATTGAATCCGTCCTCTGCACTTCTATAACTGTCTGGTTCAGCTCAGCTACCAAATCTGACCTCAGAAGGCTACAGAGGATAGTCCGGACTGCTGAGCGAATCATGTGCAATACCCAACTATCCATACTTATATTTATTATACATATGTTATTGATTTAACATATCTTGCATCTAGCTACATTCCCATGCATAATTTGTATGTAGCACATCTGTACATTCAATATACTGTCTATTGTCTTTTTGTCTATTGTGTATTGTTTTCACATATTTATTTTTAATCACTTGTTTATTTCGTTATCTGTGTCTTGTCACTTGTTATCCTGTCTGTGCACTGGAAGCTTCTGTCACCAAGACAAATTCCTTGTGTGTGTAAGCAAACTTGGCAATAAAGCTCTTTCTGATTTCTGCTTTCGAATCTGATTCTTTGAGTATCCGGAGGAGCTGGACACATTCATATCAAATTGTCTTGATGAACAAGTCCTGAAAGTCCATGCCATGTTTCTGTGAATAATATATCAAGGCAAGGAATATCTCTATGTAGCATGTATGTATGTATGTGTACTGCATTCAAACCCTTCTCTGCTCCGCGACGATTTGTTGGTGGAGAAAACAAGTCTGGCCACTAGTCGTTAATAACTAGTCGTTATGTCGTTAATGCGCAAAAATGCGCAAAAAGCCTCGGTTTCCCATCACTAGTTATAATAAACGTTGAACGTTTTGTAATATCAAGAAAAGAGCTGAAGATGAGAGTGCTGCTGGTCTGAAGTTTAAGGCACGTTGGGAAGTGACTTTCTGACGACACAGCTTAATGCTCATTGGTTTAAACGTGCGTTATTTTCTCTTGTAAAACCTCTGATATCTTATTTATGTGTAGCTATAAATTATGTGTGAATATTCCTAAATATCCTGACAGTGGGGTCATAGTTATATATATATTACTAACTAACTTATATATATATTACTATATTATTAACTAACATAGCCTATATCTTCCCTGACCTAAAAATGAATGATCATAACTTTGGGGGATGAATAAATAGCACACTGGAAGCTTCTGTCACCAAGACAAATTCCTTGTGTGTGTAAGCAAACTTGGCAATAAAGCTCTTTCTGATTTCTGCTTTCGAATCTGATTCTTTGAGTATCCGGAGGAGCTGGACACATTCATATCAAATTGTCTTGATGAACAAGTCCTGAAAGTCCATGCCATGTTTCTGTGAATAATATATCAAGGCAAGGAATCTCTCTATGTAGCTTATGCATGTATGTGTACTGCATTTCAAGAACCGTTTATCTGATCATTCAACTGTTCATTCATGATAGTTGGAACATATCTCTTGTTGAACATATGTTTTTGTAAAATTTTAAATGTAATTATTTTTGTATAATTCTTATAATTCTTCTCTGTTTAGTCTATGTATGTGTAGCCTACTGCATATGGAGAACTGTCTATCCTATCATTCAAATGTTAACACTTTATGATAAGTGGAACACATCTTTAGAATTTTAAATGACAATTATAAATTAATAAAAATATGTTGTGACTTTTGCAATAACAACATTGAATTGTCTCCTTTAAATTTGATCAATTTAAAAGTTGTCTTAGGTGGGTCAAACGACAATTATAAATTAATAAAAATATGTTGTGACTTGCAATAACAACATTGAATTGTCTCCTTTAAATTTGATCAATTTAAAAGTTGTCTTAGGTGGGTCAAAATCGATCATAATAAATGTGAATTTATCTCATTACATAAATGAATAAGGTAAGGTGTAAAGATTTTTATTACAATTAGCCTAATTTAATCAACCAATGCAAGCATTTTACAGGCTGTTGTGGTGACAAAATATTAGATAGCCTATATTAAATATATTAGATTTAAGTTGTGCCATTTTAGCCTAGACATCCTTTAAAGAAATAAGAAAACGTGTATTAGTAAAACGAAAGACATAATTTTATTTAGATCCTCGAAACTGGGTAAGTTGCTTTGACATAGCCTTACTTCCGGTTTCCCCGATAGGGAGATGGGGAATCACAAGGTGACGTATTGGATAGGGGCGTGGTTTCTGACGTAACGCATTGACGTGGGCGGAGTTGTATTTGGTATGGGCGTGGCTTCTGATGTCACAGTTGGATGTGGGCGGGGTTGGATGTCCACCGCAGGATGCAGCCAGCCCTACGCATCTAGCTACATTCCCATGCATAATTTGTATGTAGCACATCTGTACATTCAATATACTGTCTATTGTCTTTTTGTCTATTGTGTATTGTTTTCACATATTTATTTTTAATCACTTGTTTATTTCGGGGATGCAGCCAGCCCTACTTGGATTTGTGTTCAGACCAATGCGAAAATTGGACCATTTATTTATTAATTTTTTTGTAAATCATAGATGGAAAACAAGCTAATGTGCATTCTAGAAATATGTAGAACTGTTTCTGGAACAGATAAAATGCCTATAATATATCCTTTTGATTTTGATCCTTTTCTTTAAAATAATTTAAAAGCTCAAATGTGAGGTTTATCGTTTTGTAAAACTTTTTTTGTCAAAAATTTAAACATGTAGTACATATAACATGTTATGTTGTAAGTCACCAATCCAAGATTTTTTGTTTATTTAAAATCTGATCATCCTTTTTAATATTATTATTTGAATGTTTATGCATAGAGTGCATAGTGCTGCTAATTTTATTTGTTGTTTGTTGGTTTTTGACATAAAAACTTAATAAAAGAGATTTCAGTGTCTGTATGAGTACTTTGGAACATTACCACCATATTTTAACAATACCGTGATAATAATGATAACTGTGATCATTTTGGTCACTATAATCGTGATATGAAATTTTCACACTGAAAAAGTGATTTGAATTTTTAATATAAATTTACACATCATTTGTTCCTGAATAGTTACTGTTAGACCTACCTGAAAAAAAAAACTTTAGTATTTTTGTGCTAATTTGTTAATTTATTACTGTTTATGCTAAATTATTTATTACACCAGTCAAAAAAATGAAACAATAACTTTTTTTTTTTATTGATAATTAAAATGGTATGAAAATTGACTATTACCCAACATCCCCATTATATATATATATATATATATCATTGAGTATGGTTTTTTAATGTAATGTTATCATAGAAATTTGTGATCATTTAAATATTAAGAGATTTATTTATTCAAAATGACTATCTTTGGCATCCAAGAATTTACTATACCTGAAGAACCCTTTTATTCTGAAGTGATTTATGGTTCTTCACACCCGCACTTTCAAAGCAAGATTCTTTATGGAACTCAAAAAAATGTGGCAAAAGTGGTTTGTTGTTGTTACGAGCCAAATAAAACTGCTGTTTAGAATGTATTCTGACTACTTTTTGATTACTTTTGACATCGTTTATCACACATCGATTTGAAAAAAATTATTTTGTTGATATAAAGTAAAAATATATATATATATATACAGTGGGTACGGAAAGTATTCAGACCCCCTGTCAACAATTCTGTGTTTTTCTGTCAATATGGGGTGCTGTGTGTACATTAATGAGGAAAAAAAAATTAACTTAAATGATTTTAGCAAATGGCTGCAATATAACAAAGAGTGAAAAATTTAAGGGGGTCTGAATACTTTCCGTACCCACTGTATATTGTGCTTTAAACATAACACTATGTAAAGCTTTCCAAAGACATATAACACATTAAATGACTCACTAAGTGATTATTGAAATAATAATTAAAATGTGTTTGTCAGAAGTGGGTTAGATAAGCAAGGATGAAACAACAAGCATAAGAAACTCAATTATTATTATTATTTTTTTTTAGATTTGCTGTTTAATCTTTTGCAGTGAATGTAGAGTTTATACTGCACAGTAATGATTTTGCCAAATTCCAAAAGTATATACCAAGCAGTAGGAGAGAAAAATGCTAATGAGAATTTAGGAAGAATCAATTATGAATAATTGCAATCCACTATGTGAATAATATCTAATCATAATTCATAACATTATAAAATGTAATGTAATGTAATCTAATTACAACTAATTAATGTTTGTAACCCGATTGCCAGATATATAGTCAATTACTAGCCAGCATTGCAGACTACACACACACACAAACAAAAATATATAAATTTGCTATTTCATATTTTTGACGAGTTCATTATCCTATTATTATTGTAGAATTTTAGAATTACTCAAAATATGAAAACAAACTATGAAAATAATAGAAATAAAAATGAATATAAAGATGTAGCTTGTTTTCAAAAGACAAAACTTAAAGGGGTCATATGATGCGATTTCAAGTTTTCCTTTCTCTTTGGAGTGTTACAAGCTGATTGTGAATAGATAAGATCCCTGAAGTTGCAAAGACTAAAGTCTCAAAACCAAAGAGATATTCTACCTCACTATGTGGGAATATTTGCATAATGCAGCCCAAATGTGCACGCAAAGAAAGAAAGCGTGGTTTCAGTAACCGCAGTTAGTGTTGAAGCAGCAAATAATGATCTTTAAAAAAGCATCATATGACCCCTTTAAATGCTATCATAATAGAGAGAGAAAAAAATATTTCGCTGGTGTTATTAGAGATAACAAAGTGGCCGATACTGAAAAAGAAATATTTACTAAATTGCATGATTCAGGGTTAATCTTCAGTATTCCAGTCAGCAGTAGTGGCGCAACGGAGCGGAGCAGAGCAGAGCGGGCGGGGAGGGAGGCGGAGTGCGGTGCATGACGGGACGCGGGTGTAATCTCCACCTCACATCCCTCCATCATCAGCCGCACGCTGACCTCTGACAGCAAACACGGAAGCAGCATGGCGTCAAACAGCAGCAGCAGCACCGCACAGCAGAGACTCAGGATCATAGCCGGACATTTGCAGAAACGGCCAGAAGATGAACACCCGAGCGTCGCTGCGCAGGAGTGCAAAGCCGAGACGTCCCGATCCAACCCGAGCAGCGCGACACCGGTGCCGAAGAGGAGGTATGTGGCGTCAACCTGCCTGCTATGAGATCTAGCTCTTCACGCGTCTCATACAGACACATACATAAACTCCGCGTTTAAACAGCAGCGGGCGTTACATTGTATCACTACGTGCGCTCGAGAGCTGGATCTGAACAAAGTGTCCATTCATCCCGAAGGAGGAGGAGGAGGAGGAGGAGGAGGAGGGTGCGGCGGCGTGATATCTGCACACTGACTGATGGACACATTCAGATCTCCTTGTTTTCTCTTTTCATAGAGCAGTGTGCTTATTTGCACCAGTTCGTTCGGCTTAAGCTCACAGCGACCAAACCAGTAATGAAGAAGACGCTTGTCACAGGGCTGCTGGTTCTTCTAGGGCACCTTATCAGCCCTTAAAGCTATAGGTCACCCACAAATAATGTCTGTCGTCAACTACTCCGCCTCAAGTTAACGAGAATGAAGAACCAGGGCAGTTTTCCAGTTAATAACTTAAATGTGGGTCTGTTCCTGACACAAGGCTATCTGAAGATGTGACACAAGTCATATGGAGCTAAACTTATATGGCTGGCCATCCACTTTAGTTGTTTGAAAAAGAGCACCATGGACGTTCTGTATAATAACGGGTTTTGTTTTCTAAGTGTTTTTTGAGCGTAGAAGTAGATGGTGACAGAATTTTCGTAGCTAGGTGAGCTTTAGCTTTTTTCTCAACTAGGGGCCACTGAAAGTCTCCAGAGGCTCTTTTGGAGAATATATATATAGACATGGGTTACCTTTCTACCTAACTGATTTCCAACTCTTGAATAATCTGTTAATAATTAATGTTCTCAATGAAAGCTCTTATAAAGTGTAACATTTTTTGATTGTGGAGGTCCCTGTGTTGGCTGAAAGTTTTTGAGGGCCTTGTAGGCTATCTATGGAGGTTGAAAACCCCCTTGGTTGTGTTTCCTCCGTTTTCAGACATGTGCTTTCACAGGAAGGGATGATGCTTCTGTAAACGGAAAGGGTGTTGGTTATTTCTGTCTGTCTATAGATTCAACTGTACTAGCCTGAGGCTCTTAACTGCAATCAGCTGTACTGGGACGTTTATTACACACTTCTCCATGTTCGTGTCTCATCTATCTTTCCAGAGCACTGCTGTTTTTGCTTTTCTTTGTTATATCTGCGACAGCTGGAATCCCTTTAATCGTATCATTTAGTGGATTGATTACTGGTCATGCTGTCTGTTGTTATGAATGTACATATGAGGTGATCTCCCCACAAGTTGTATTTTGTATGTCAGAAGTTAGTTTGGCAAAGCTGTGCTTTGATTGGACGAGGGCTGTGGTGGTCTGACTTTGTATTTGCTAAGAGTGAACATGTACTGCCTTCATGTGGGCTGACGGCACTGTGCTGCCATCTAGTGCTGGACATGGAATAGCCTTTGACCTACTGAGACCCAGCAGAAGTTTCTCGGGCAGGGAGGCACTACAAATGTTTTCTCTGAACTATGGGCCTGTCCCAATACCCACACTCGCGGTCTTTGCACTTGACCACTTGCATGACGCATTTCCTGTTTTTGGCCCAAGTGTTCAAGTGGACACGAAGACCACAAGTGTGTGTGGAACGCATTTATAACAGTGTTATAAAAACGATCCAAAACACAACACTCACCAAGAAAGATCACATTTTCTTTGGCTTTAATCTTTTGGATCCTTTTTGGAAACTGTATGAAAGAGATTGTATGAATTCATACAAATTAGCCACCACTTGCCAAAATGTTAAATAAATAGATAAATAAGTAAATAAATTGCCAGGAGAAGTGTACTTGTCTGGCCGATATGGCAGGCATCTTGGACTCCTAGTGGTCTGGATGCTTCTAAACATTTTCAATGAACAATTTGAAAGCAAAGTGCGGCCACATTAGTGATATTTTGCAAACAAAAATTACATTTCCCATTGTCGATAGTGTAGTGTAGAGACGAGAAAGTTACATTTAAACCAAGCCACTTTCTGCTAGTTAAAGGTTAAACAAATTTGCATGAACTTTCTCTGCCTTGCAGCATGAAACTCCTGAAAGTGTGGATTCCTGTTGAAATCTCTGGATACTTTTTCAGAGCAACTGTAAATGTAATCACACCTTTATGCATCAAATAGAACTAGATAAAATGCTCATTTAGCTGTATAAAATGTTTTGAGGGAATAACAGCGATGTGCACCTTTTAAAAAAAAGTTAAAGGGATAGTTCACCCAAAAGTGAAAATTCATTAGGGCCTTTCGCACCATTTTAGTTCCAGAACTAAATGTACAGTACTAAAGTACTGGGACGATTTTGCGCGAACTATTTCCCAGTACCATTTAAAAGGTTGCATTCGCACCGACAGTGTGTACTAGGAAGTGACGTAAGCCGGTCGACAGCGACGTCATTTGTGCGCGGCGTTCAACAACAGAAACAAAGAAGAACAACAATACGGTACTGACCCTCATGTTGTTCCAAACCTGTATGTTATGTTCTGTCGAACACAAAAGAAGATATTTTGAAGAATGTCGGTAACCAAACAGATGCTGGTGGTAGCCATTGACTTCCATTGTATGGAGAAAAAAAAAAAATACTATGGAAGTCAATGGCTACCGTCAACTGTTTGGTTACCGACATTCTTCAGAATATCTTCTTTTGGGTTCAGCTGAAGAAAGAAACTCATACAGGTTTGTAATGACATGAGGGTGGGTAAATGAGGACAGAATTTTTGTTTTTGGGTGAACTGTCCTTTTAACAGACTAAACATCCGACTTGTCAGTCCTGCTTGCTAACAGCTTGACTATTCCAGTAGATATCAGGTTCATCCTAAACCAAGTTAGCCCTATTCAAAGAAAGGTACCTTTATATTAAAATGCTTCCTCTCAGATGTTTTGTCTCAGTGTATTATAACATCTGGCTTGTGTTTTAGTTTACAATGCTTAAAATGTCACATGTAACAGTGTGCAGGAGTGAAAGCCCACAGGCTGAATGTTTCCATCGTCTCGTCGGGTCTGGAGTCATCACATTTTTTCGGCTGCTCTTTGCTGTTGAGAAGTCTGCATGTGTCCTTTTTTTAGGGTTTGACTGTGTCTGTTTCTCAGAAGATCAGCAGCAGACCTTCATTCCGTCCTCTGATCACCCGCTCGCATGTTTCCTCAAACTGACAATGTGTGTTTTTGGTTGGAGTCCCACAGCAGGCGCAGCGCTCCAGAGATCACAGCTGCACTAAAGCCTGGAGTAATGAACGTCACATCACACTTATTATTACTCATTACATTATGTGTAAGGGGATTCGAGAAAAGAGAGAAGTGTGCTGTTATTTTTCTGAGGGATTGGATTTTGGGACGTGAGCCATAGTAAAGTCCAGAAACCAGTTGCAAGAAACCCCTCGAGTTAAGAAAAGCCGTAGTGATAAAATCCTCACTATAAATATGTGAGAATGTGATGTGGAGGAACATTTCATTTAAGGTTATTACTTCATCAGCACTGATTATGCGTAGACTTTTGTGTACATGGCATAAACAATTTAACATAAGCAATTTTTATGTTTATTTTATGTGAAAATTTAGGTTTGTAATATTTTTTAAATAAGTCTCTCATGCTTGCCAAGGCTGCATTTATTTGAATATTATGAAATATATGATTGAAATATTATTACAATTTAAAATAACTTTAATGTCACTCTTGATCAATTTAATGCATCCTTGCTGATAAAAGTATTAATTTCTTTAAAAAAACAAAACAAACACTTACTGCCCCAAACTTTTGAAATGTTATGCTTGTTAAAACTTTTCAGAATTCTCAAATTATGTATACAAATAATTTAAAATGACAGTTCAATATTGTTTTGGTGTAAGCAGAAAATGATCCTACAAATTAATGTAATTTATTATTTTTTACAAATTAATGTTTTGTTTTTTGTTGATGAAAAAAGAATGTTTTTTCATTGCATTTTCATTTCATTTTGTTAAACAGTTTTACACTCAAAATGAACAGTTTTATTATTATTATTATTATTTAGAAATATTGTAATAAATCCTGACAATACAGATTATTTTGTAAAAAGTACATCACATAAATTAATCAGCACAACTTTATTGTTTACTACCTTGTGGTAGTGTGTGCCAGATGAACAAAGCTGCTCAAAAATGCAACGCATCAAGAAAGATCACGTATTTTCTTTAGTTTTTAACCTTTTGACCTTTTGGGTCCATAGATAAGTTTTTTGGAAGCTTGCGTGAAGATGTGTATAATCAGCTTGATCTTATGAAAAAATTTTGCTATTTTACAAGGAGGTGATTTTGTATGAAATGTGATTCATGTGGAAATGCAGTTTTTTTTAAAGCAGGAAGGTCCACCCCTAAACATAATCCATTTAAACTCGAAAAACACTTAGTAGCAGGTTTTTGTGTTTAGTGCCCTTCACATTCACCTTTCATGCAGTGCCTCGAATAATAGATCAAGATAGCAGGACATTTGCTGTAACTGCTGTTGACTCTTTCAAAACGTTTCTTATCTGAAGGTCTGTCTGTCTTGTCGCAGCAGAAGTGAATGGTGTGACTTCAGGACTCTCATAGTAACTCTTTCATTCGGTCATGATACATGTTATCATACAGACCCCGTAATATAAAGACTGGAGCGGTTTATCTCTGCAGGTCATTATAATAATGGCCACTAAAATTAAATATTATATTTGTAGACATCAAGATGAAGGTTGTATATCATTGAACATACTTTGCGATTGGCTGTTATAAAACAGCATGTTAACACAGGCTCTCTCTCTCTCTCTCTCTCTCTCTCTTTCTCAGGCAGGAGATCATGAAGTGGAATGGCTGGGGTTACAGTGACTCAAGGTTCCTGTTCAATAAAAAGGGTCAAGCAGAGTTCACAGGGAAACGGTGAGTATGAGGCACCAAACAAACACCAGTTAGACTCAGAATAGACTTCTAATTAGACTCCGGTATTTTGTACTGCATTGGAAAGTCAGTGGCATTCTGCAGAATGGATGAACGTGTTAAGCAGAGCTGACAGCACTATAGTCTTAAAGGGGTCATATGATGCGATTTCAAGTTTTCCTTTCTCTTTGGAGTGTTACAAGCTGATTGTGCATAGATAAGATCCCTGAAGTTGCAAAGACTAAAGTCTCAAAACCAAAGAGATATTCTTTATCAAAGTTAAGACTCTGCCACGCCCCCCTAAAACGGCTCGTTCTAACACACCCCACATATCTACAAAGGCGGGGCATAGAGGAGAAACAATAATGTACAGTATGTGGAAAATAATGTGTTTTTTTTACTTTAAACTGCATAAACACATTTCATTACACCAAATACACAAAATAATGGTCTTTTTAGCAGCATCATATGACCCCTTTAAAGTGATAGTTCACCCAAAAATGAAAATTCTGTCCTTTTTTTGTTTTTTTACTCACCCTCTTGTCTGTATGACTTAACTTTCGTCTGTAGAATAATACAAGAACATATTTTGTCTCAATGCATTTTTTTTTTTTTTTACATACAGTGAAAGTGGTTTTTTGGACCCCATTGACTTTTATTTGAATGAACAACAGCATTCCTTTAAATATTGCACCACTAATCCTGAACAAGGATGGAAAGAAGATATTACAAATTTGTCAGGATATATATGGCTGAAAAGTGTTTGAAATATGGACAGCTTACTCTTAATACCTTATAGGGCCTGTAAATAAATTTATAGTCAAACAAGTGAATTGTTAAAAATGCAGCTAATTAAGTTTAAATAATCATTTTCTGTAGTTTTACAATTCATTTGATATGAATTTACACTATATTTGTTCATTTGTCTAAATTTGTACGTTAAAATAATTTTAAAAAATGACATTATCGTTCAAACTGATTTTTTTTAATTTTTATAAATTGCATCCTGCAGTTCGGCCGAAGCATACAGTACTCTATGCAAGTACATGAATGTAAACGCTTCTAGCTATGCAAGGTTGATTTTGTGCATCGCAGTGTTTTGAAACGTGTCGTTGAGCTTTCTAAACATTCGTATAGAGGACATTAGCATAAACAGTCTCATGCACTCATAACACTGGCCCGGATGGAGATGTTTACCACAGCATGCTCCTTAAGTACATTCTCAAGGACCTACAGACACACACAGTCACACAGTGTGTCCTATTCTGTGTAATCGGACAGACACAGCGGCGCTGCTTAATCTAACGTACACAGAAGATGTGCTTTTGCTGCCATATTTCATCATAACACATACAAGTTGCTCAAAAAAAAACAAGCCTATAGTTTCAAAAAAAGTCACGGGATGATTATGAGCATATGCAAAGAAAATCTTTAAAACCATTTAAGTCCAGTCAGTCATTCACACCAGACAGCAACTGGCGTATATATACAGACACACACAGACACACATTTGGTAGGAACTGTCAGCTCTGTGGTGAGGACTGGATGTGCTCGTTTTTCCTGGTTTAGTGTGGTGTGCTCATGCCATCTAGCGGCTGGAATCTGCACTGCTGCGTCTGAACACAAGAGGTCATCTGACAGTATTGGGTCAGAGAGAGAGTTGTTTATTAGATTAGAAAGATTGCATGGATTAAATAGATTTAATGAGTTATTAATCATGCACAGCTGAGTTGCATTAAGAACAAAACTTGTACATGTTTTACATGAATCCGTACTGAATCCCATACTGGTTTCAGGTATCGGTTGAGTGGGCTGATTTTACCAAGTCTGAAGGACTGGTTCGAGGGCACGTTTGGAGCCAATTTACAGCATAAATCTCCTGCAACAGTAAGTGAAGTGTGGTATATCAGACCTGCTGTATAGTAGACTCTTGTGTTGTGTGTGTGTGTGTGTGTAATATGGGGTGTGTGTCTTCTTCCAGCCCACCGTGAATTTAAGTGCAGTTGCTCCTCCTGACCTGAACGAGCCCTTCGTCGAGGATCTGAAAGCTGCAGGTGTGGCCATGTCACATGACCCAGAGGACCGGGTTTTCCGAGCTCATGGTACAGAACTGCCATCTTTGTGTTTGGCAGAAATTTTTCACTTTTTTTCATTTTTTCATGTTTTACCTCATATTTCAGCATAGTTTCATAAAGAAATGGAACCTTATTTTAATAAATAATGTTTCCATTGTATATGACAATGCAAAAATCATAATGGTCCTAAAATAGTTTTTTTATAGTTTTTTTTTTATGATTTTAGTTTTTATTTGCTTTTTATTTAGGGGTGAAATATGAGTTTTTTTTTTTAAATTACAGTTTACTTTTAAAAGAGAGTTTGTTAAAAAAAAAAATAATTTTATTTTAATTTTGATTTGATCAAAACACTTTACTCTTTAGTTTATATATGACCATTTATTTGATTATTTCTCATACACTACCATTCAAAAGTTAGATTTTTGAATGGTAGTGTAGAGAAAAATATTTTTTTAATGTGTTTGAAAGATGTCTCCTATGTTCACCAAGGCGACATTTATTTATCAAAAATACAGTAAAATACAAATATACAATAAAATTGCAATTTAAAATAATTGCTTTGCTGCTCCAGAAACATTTCTTATTATTATCAATGTTGAAAACAGTTGCACTACTTCATATTTTTGTGGAAACCCTGATTTTGTTTTAATAGGATTCTTTGATAAATAGAAGGTTCAAAAGAACAGAATTTATTTGATGCAGAAAGCTTTTTTGACGTTATAAATGTCTTTACTGTCACTTTTGATCAATTTAATGAATCCTTGCTGAATAAAAAGTATTAATGTCTTAAAAAAATCTTACTCACCCCAAACTTTTAAATGGTGGTATGCTTACTGAGAGCTTACAGTATTTCTTGAAATCTTATGTGGTACCTCAAATAAGTAACTTAGACCGTATGTGTTCATATTACAAAAAAAGATTAGGAACTCTTTTTTTTTTTTTCTCATTTATTTGGCTGCTATTTACTGCCAAGTGCTTTAGCAGTATGAGCAAGTCTTTCTGAAAGCTTGTTTTCTTTGTCTTCCTCAGGTCACTGCCTGCATGAGATCTTTGCCCTGCGCGAGGGGAGGATAGGACGGGTGCCCGACATGGTGGTTTGGCCGAGTGAGTGACTGCAAAGGGTTAAGCATCAGTGGCTGAGTGCAAATTAATATTCATGAGGAACTGCTTTAATTAGAGGGAATGGGGGAGCTTGCCGTCCAGTGATACTCTGGCTGCCAGAGCAGCTGCTCTCTGATTGGTGGAGTCCTGACAGCATCCATTTCACCCTCTCTGATTGATGGCTGAGCTTTGATTAGAAGAGTACCCAAGCGGCCAGCAAATCATCTGCCTCTCAGTCCAGAATATTCTCTCTCGGCGAATTCATCCTTTACCTCCAATCATCCAGGGTTCTCCCTCAGTAGATTGTCCTGTAACCATCAGAGTCTCCTTCAGAAACCCTTCTGCGCCCCTCACTCACACATACACACACGTTTTTTTTATAATCTTGACGAAATGTCACTTTCTCTGCCTCTGAAATGACTTAAGTGTCCAATTAAATCCCAGAGGATAAAACCACATTCCACTTTACATTATTTCCAACTAAATATTCTCTTTCACTACGACATTTTGGATTATAAGCTATAAGATATTGAGCCCATGTTCACTGTTGTGTGGGACGTTTAGTGGGCGGTCAGATGTGCTCCAGTGGGTCACTGCTTCATATTGATCCACCCGTCTGAAAGTAGAAGGGATTGAGGGGTTTGTTTTTGTGTAGTTGTGCACTACCATTCAAAAGTTTGGAGTCAGTAAGAATGAATAGTTTTAAAAAGCAAGAACTGAATCGATCAAAAGTGACAGTAAAGACATGTATAATGTTACAAAAGATTTCCATTTCAAATAAATGGTGTTTAATAATAATCAGAAATGTTACTTGAGCAGCAAATCAGCATATTGTGATATCTGAAGGATCATGTGACACTGAAGACTGGAGTAATGATGCTGAAGATTCAGTTTTGCATCACAGAAATAAATTACATTTTAACTATATATTCAAATACAACGCACTTCTTTTAAATTTTAATAATATTTCACAGTATTACTGTTTTACTGTAGGCTACTTTTGATTTTCAGTCAAATAAATTCAGCTTTGGTGAGCATAAGAGACTTCTTAAACTATTGAACGGTAGTGTAAGCGTAAGGGTTGTTTTGTTATGATTGATATGAAAGTGGTTTGATATGAAATAGTTGAGTGGATAATAATGGTGATTTGATTTTTGCAGGCTGTCACAAAGATGTAGAGAAGATTGTGGAACTGGCCTGCAAACACAACGTCTGCTTGATACCCTACGGAGGCGAGTACTCGCATAAAGAAAATGCATCTAATGCTGATGGACCAAAAGATTGTTTATAATCAAATCAAAACAAGATAAAATGTCTTGCCATATTACGGTTATATATTTAGTTTCTGCTTAGTGTGTTTCCCTCGTATTTTGCTCTTTCCAGCCGTTTCATTCACTTTCCCCAAAAAGGAAAATTGTTTTTGTAGATTGCATTTGTGCAAAAATATTAATCAGCACAACTGATTTCATCATTGATATTAATAAGACATTTTTAGCGCATAAGAGCATTTAAGCGTATTAGAAAGATTTCTGAAGAATCATGTGACACTGAAGAATGGAGTAATGATGCTGAAAATTCAGTTTTGATCACAGGAATAAATTACATTTTAAAATATATTACAGAAATGATAGAAAACAGTTATTTTACATTGTAATAATGTCTACTGTATTTTTGAGCAAATAAGTGCAGCCTTGGTGAGACTTTTTCAAAAATATTAAATCTTACCGACCTCAAACGTTTGAACAGTATTGTATTTCATCTAATATTTTTTGAATGAAGTGTTCAGAACATGAACCTTGTTTATTTTAAATATTTTTCTAAATGAATTTTTTGTGCTTAGCTGTCTAAATGTGATCTGCAAAGTCTGATTGACCTGATATTCTGATTTAATATAATTTAACAGAATATGGTTGCATATATTTAAGTTATTTTATTCTTGTTTAAACATTATATTTTCATTTTTCTAATCATAAAATGTTTTCAAATTGTGTGAATTAGTTTTGGACATGGCAGAGCTGTTCTCCAGATCATGTAAGTTTAGATATGTGTGCTTTCTTACAGTATTAAACCTCTCTCTCTCTCTCTCTCTCTCTCTCTCTCTCTCTCGCTCTCTCTCTCTCTCTCTCTCTCTCTCTCTCGCTCTCTCTCTCTCTCTCTCGATCAGGTGGGACGAGTGTGTCCAGTGCGCTAGAGTGCCCTCGTGAGGAGACTCGCTCCATTGTCTCTTTGGACACCTCTCAGATGGTGAGCATTTACATGAATACATGCAGTTGTGACATACTGACACTCATTCAGCGCCTGTATTTTGCGCGTGTGTGTGTGTATATTTATGGTGCATATATTAAATGTCCGCACATACAGAGCTTTCTGTGTACCTGGCTGTACTTCTCTCCCCTTTTTACCCCTCTCCTGCGCTTTCTCTCTCGTGTTCCCCTCTCCACATATTTCATCTGCTGCTCTGACCTTGGCTGGCCTGTTTTAGGGGTCGTGGGGTCACGCACATGAAAGGCAGCGCGTCATAAGCGCGGTTGTTTTATGAGTGCAGTGGCGTGATTGATAGCTGGGGGGCGGAGCCACCTGTGGAGACTGGGCTGTTTCCTAAAGTGCATTTAACCCCTGTGGAAACCAGGGGACAAAACCCGGCTGATAGTCTGAATGCCTGAAAAATTCACCAGCTAAAGCCCGGGCCGCTGGGAAGGCGTGATTATATGTGTGTTTCTATTGTTAAATTGAGAAAATGTGCTGATTTTACTCGTTGGCACAAGAGCAAAAGTCACGGTTATTACAGATCGTCACACTACATCAGGCAAAACTAAAAGCAGTGGTTTGTGTCGCTGTGGTTTCTGGTTTACACACACACACAGTGACCTCTCTCTGTCCTGACTTGCTAAGCTGAGATATGTGGGGTGAGTTTAGCGGCAGTGAATCAGTTTGACATGTGGTTTGAGGGAGACCTGCGAACACACTACTGCACTTTAATCAAAACCTCTCTCCCTCTCTCATTCTAGTCTATTCCAATCATTACAGTCAGCCTTTTAGACCTACATGCTGTGTTTTTATATGCATTTATAATCTATTCTCTACAGTATTGTTGTGTGTCTATTGCCTTGTATAGCCCACATTTTGGCCACATGCACATACAGTTTTTTTGTCCTTAATGTTTTGTTCTGTCTTTGTTAGAAAATAACAACAATTAAAACAAAAAAATAGTTTAGGGATAATTCACCCAAATATAAAAATTCTGTATTTGTGTTTTTGGCCACATGCACATGCACACTGTTTTTTTTTTTTTGGTCCTGTATTTGTTCTCTATGCTAGAGATTTGCATACTTTAAAAATCAACTAGTCTCTGGGTTCCCTGAATGACTGCTGTTGTCGAATAGTCATCTTTATTATGAGGTTGATTTAGATTTAGAGTTGATGTTTAATCAGATTTACTTCTTAGGGGATTTTCACATGCAATATTCTCATGATGAAACATAATGCAGGACCCGATTCTAAAAGTGTATTCTTTTTGACTTCACGTGTTTTTGATTTCGTACTTGCATTTGTTTTAAAATGCAACATTCATGTCATGAATTGATATTGAATTAATTGTAATTTCAATCAACAAAAACATACAATACTGTTCAAAAGTCAGTAAGATGTGAAAGAAATTAATATTTTATTTAGCAATGATGCATTAAATTGATCAATAGTGGCAGTTAAGACATGTTACAAAAGATTTCTATGCTGTTCTAAGGTTTTCAGCATTGATAATAATCAGAAATGTTTCTTGAGCAGAAAATAAGCATATCATTATGATTTCTGAAGGATCATGTGAAACTGAAGACTGGAGTAACGATGCTGAAAATTCAGCTTTGATCACTGGAATAAATTACATTTAAAAAATATATTACAATAGAAAATTATATTACAAATTTCACTGCATTCAGCAAGCTCAACCATTCAATCCTGGCACCCAAGTTTTTGTAAGAAAAAAAAAATGAATAGACAAATATTTTTAAATGATTAAATTAATATTAAATTTACAACCCTGTTGACAATTCAGGCAAATTTTATTTTTGACTATTTGATTTGGATGAATATTTAGAAACATTTTGGCAACAGGGTTGCAAAAACTGCAGACATAAAAAAAAATTATAAAAAATTAAACGTAATAGGAATAACTCGGCCTTTTCTGTATGACTTACTTTCTTCTGTTGAACAAAAAACAAGATATTTTGAGTGAAAGTCAATGGTAAACAAACTTTCTTTAAAATATCTTATTTGAACTTTAATTAATGGGTGTGCTGTCCCATTTAAAGTTCCATGCTCTGTTATGTATTTTATTACTCCCCTATTCATGGTAAATGCTTTCATCTTAAGTTATAAAGGTTCAAATGAGATGAATCCCTGTGTGACCTGTTATGTTCAGCTGTTTGTTCCTGTTGTGTAGAACCGAATATTGTGGATTGATGAGAAGAATCTAACAGCTCATGTGGAGGCTGGAATCATCGGACAGGATCTGGAGAGACAGGTCAGTGATCCACGATAACATTTCATTTCAGAGTAAAGAGCTTCCTGCAGCTTCCTTTGTATTCGGGTTTAAGTTATATATAGTGTGTGTGTGTTTGTATGTTTGTGCCAGCATTCATGTTAATGCTGAAGGGTAAAAACAGGCCGTTTGGTTGTGCTTGTGCCAAACTAAACACACACACACACACACAGAGCAGATGGTCCCATCAAACTAATGTAAAAAAAATGGCACTGGTGCCGCTGGTCTGTTGTGGTATTTTGATTGTGTGTGTGTGAGGTGCATTGCAATCAGCCCATCACAGTGTGGGTGTGTGTTGGAGGGATGCAGGACAGATGGTGGGACATTAAAGTGTGTTTGTATTTCTTTGGGGTTTGCTTAATAAAATCACCTGGAGCGTGTGTTTTATCTGAGACTGATCAAAAAGACCATCAGCTCCCTCGCAGGTATACGGCTGTCACGCTCACACACTCCATATTGTGAGTCTGACTGCAGGAAAACGGGTCTGAAACGCTCCATAAGGCTTCAATACCACTGTGTTTATCCAGAAACACATTTCCTGTGAGGCTGGTGTTTTATTGACAGTCGTGTGATTAGAATTTTTTATTATAAAACAGATATCCAGTTCCTGGGTGCTGATTGGTCAATACAGTGATCCAGCTGTGCTAAAATACGTGATATTGTAAGAAATATTGTTCAACATCTGTTGACCATCTGCTGTGTATATTGTATCCAGGGGTGTTTGTATATATATATATATATATATATATATATATTGTTGCTCAAAGCAAGATTCAGATTTAATATACGGTTAAATCCACCAAATTTGTTTTGTGCATCGTAAAGATTGTGACAAAACCGCCAAACCATTTTTGCAAGCATTAGACAATTTTTTGGGGTCCGAAGAATTTGTACCACCACCGTGTTTACAGATATCACATACACTACCATTCAAAAGTTCTGGAATAGTATGTTTTTGAAAGAAGTGTTCAAAATACAGTAAAAACAGTCATATTGTGAAAGTTTAAATGGCTTTACTGTCACGTTTGACCAATTTAATGTGTCCTTGTTAAATAAAAGTTTTAATTTCTTTTCCATTAAAAAAATGACTGACTCCAAACATTTGAACAATAGTGTATATATGCATATATACACATATCATTGCACAGCACCAACTATTAAAAGGGTTGTTCACCCAAAAATGAAAATCTGTCTTCATTTATCCTTAAGTTGTTCTAAAACTTTATGTGTGTATATATATATATTTGTTGTTGTTGTTCAACACAAATGAAGATAGTTTGAAGAATGTTGGTAACCAAACAGTTGCTGAAGCCATTGACTTCCATGGTATTTTTGTTTTACTATGGAAGTCAATGGCTACCGTCAACTTTTTGGGTGAACTATCCCTTAAACCTTATTTTTTTTTTATGTCAGAGACTGTATTATTTACTTAAAAGGGACTTACTTAAAAGGGTGCTTACTTAAAAATATATATATATATATTTTAATAAAAAGTAATTATGTATCGCTTGTTTTATACTTTTCTGCTGAGGATGTTTTATGTTCTTTATGTGATTATAGTTGAATGAGTGTGGTTACTGTACGGGCCACGAGCCGGACTCCATGGAGTTCAGTTCTCTGGGCGGCTGGGTGGCCACACGGGCGTCAGGCATGAAGAAAAACATCTATGGCAACATTGAGGAGCTGGTATGTCTCCCTATTTCTCAGCACACACAAACATACACAGGTCTGGGACAGAGGTCACATTCACGCTCACACCCTTCCAAATGTTTTAGTGAGAGATGTGTTGTCGTAGGTCATTCATGGTACCTGTGATCTCATGTGTTCCCAGGTGGTGCATATAAAGATGGTGACCCCTAGAGGAGTGATTGAGAAGAGCTGTCTGGGGCCCCGCATGTCCACCGGCCCCGACATACATCACTTCATACTGGGCTCAGAGGGTACGGACTCATGATGTTTTGTGTGAGGAATGTATCTGAAAGGATCCGTTACTCAGTGGATCTCCAGAAACATGTCACTTCAAAATTAAATGAAAGAAAAACTAGAGTGGATCCTCTTCTCATTGTGCACACTGAAGTTAGTTTGACATTGGTTGGGTCACTGATAGTGATAAGCATAATAAGGGTGTTTATATAGTAGTGAGAGTTCATAAAAATAGTCCTCTTAATCAGAGAGATTTGTAAAGCAAACTTTTTATTTATATTTATCTAAGGTCATGTTGCATCTAAGGTCATGTTGCCCTGATTGGGCTTCTCTTGCAGAGCTGCAGTCATATCAGCATGAAGTCTTATCCATTTGGGAAGTCGTGGCCTAATGGTTAGAGAGTCTGACTCGTAACCCAAAGATTGCGGGTTCGAGTCTCGTACCGGCAGGGATTGAAGGTGGGGGGGCTTCACGGTGTGTGTGTGCACTTTGGATGGGATAAATGCAGAGCACTAATTCCGAGTATGGGTTACCATACTTGGCCACATGTCACAATCATCATCATCATCATCATTCTGCAGTTTTTTCAAACCAATAACCACACTCTTAGAAAGGAAGAGAGACCAACATGTGAAGTGACCAATCACAGTTTTTTTTTTTTCGTAAGTTAAAGATAGATCAATTTAAAACCGATTATACGATGCAAAATTAAACAAACTGATCAATTCTACTAGTTTACCTGCTATTTAAAGGAATAGTTCACCCAACTATTTATTTAATTTTTAATTTATTAATTAATTTATTTTTTGAAAATGTACTCACCCTCGGGCCATCCAAGATATAGATGGGTTTGCTTCTTCATCAGAACAGATTTGTATTAATGTATCATTGCATCACTTGCTCACCAGTGGATACTCTGCAGTGAATGGGTGCCGTCAGAATGAGAGTCCAAACAGCTGATAAAAACATCACAATAATCCACAAGTAATCCACACCACTCCCAGTCCAGCCCATTTGTTTCTTATAAACACACAGCTTTTCTCTTCACCAGATGTTAACTGATGGACTGGAGTGGTGTGGATTACTTGTGCGTTACTGTGATGTTTTTATCAGCTGTTTGGACTCTCATTCTGACGGCACCCATTCACTGCTATATTTCAAGCAAACTCATCTGCATCTTGGATGGCCTGAGGGTGAGTACATTTTCAACAAATGTACGTTTTTGGGTGAACTATTGCTTTAAGTGCCTAAAATCTTGAGTTCTTCCTCCCAGAAGTCATGTAGCAGTCATGCCATCTGACTGAAACTTGTGATTTTCAAAAGTGCTTTTCAGTTTTGTGTGCAGTGGGATGGTAAGAGAAGAGAATCTGAAACTGAGACTATGTTTGGCCTTTCCTGTGAACCAGTAGGGGGCAGTGAAACATGTTCAGCTAGACGAGAACTATGTGTTTGATATCTTACACGTGTCATGATGCTGTTTGAAAGTATCACCCTTATCCAAAGAAAAGGATACTGTTATCAATCTGTCTCTCTGAAAAGTCATTAAGCCGTTCATGAAGTGATGAAACTGAGTCATAATCGTTGTGTTTGGTAAAATGGTCCGTGAAGCTTTTTATGGCTCATATGAATTCTTTGTGGGATGATGAATATTTCCCAGGATTAATCTGCATTAATTAAACATTCATGATTCCATTAGGAAGGGCATTTGCTTCTTTAATGGTTTTGTAATGTCAGGAGCATTTAGACTTAAGAAACGCCCATTTCACCTTTTCCCCTCTGACACCCCTCTGGGTTGTTGTTGTTGTTGTTTCGGGGGTCAGGAGATCTTTAGATGTAAGGATTCTTATCTCAGAGGTGTGTGTGTCTGTGTGTTTGATGATAAAACATGTTATTGGCATGTTTAAAGAAATATTCAGGGTTAAATGCTACTTAAGTGATGTCTATTATTGCTGTTAAATTACAGTAAAAAAACTGCCACCTGTGCCAGAAATTCGTCTTAAAAATTACCGTGGCAATGTTTGAGATATTACGGGATGGCATGTTTACAAATTGTGACTGTATTTTTTTAAGTGATATAACGTTAATATAAGTTACTACCAAAATCTATTTTGTAAAATAGAAAGCCACATGATGAATTGGAGTTCATCGTAAGTTGGCTGTCCATAAAACATTTCCACTCCTATTAAATAGAAAATGAACATGGTCAAACACACAAAGACAAAACACCAACACACAATAACGCAACAAATAGTCACTAAATAACATAAAATGTAACACAAAACACCCTAATGTAAATTATTAATTATAAAAATAAGAAGGAACTAATTAAAATATAATCATATGTGCTGTGTCATGCAGGAACTTTTGGGAATATCTCTTTGCTGTTTTTCACCATAAATTATATGGTAATTCATAGTTTTTACTTCCAAAAACTATAAGTTTGACAGTATTTTATAGGAAAATTACATGTAATGCAATGTTAAACCATTTACTTTTACTGTTTGCACCCTAAAGTGTATGTTAATACATTTTTTTATTTCCAAAAACATAATTTTGACAGTATTTTACAATATAATTTCATATAAAGTGATGTTCAAACATTTAGTTTCTCATCATAAATTATACAATAATTCAGTTTTCCCTTCCAAAAACTATAATTTGATAGTATTTTACTGTAAAACTACATATAATATGATGTTAACCATTTACTTTGACTGTTTTCCATCATTAATTATACTTTGATTCATAATTCTATTTCAAAAAACCATACATTTGCCAGTGTTTTACAGTAAAATTCTATATAATGTAATGTTAAACCATTTACAAATTTTCACCATATAGTTTATGGTAAGGTAACTTAGTTAAAGGTGGGGTAAGCGATTTCTGGAAGCCAATGTTGACATTTGAAATCGCCAAAACAAACACGCCCCTACCCCAAATCCCCACCTTTAACAGGTTTTTACTGGAGCATTTTACAGGGTTTTTCTATATATATAAAAAAGTTTTTTATGGCATTGTACTTCCTGTATTTTTACATTTTAATGAATAAAATACGAGTGAAGGATGTGGATGAGTGGCGTTTTGTTACTGAGGTTTGTTCCCGCCTTCAGTACCACGACTGAGGTGCGCTTGGGCAAGGCACCGAACCCCCAACTGCTCCCCGGGGGCCGCAGCAAAAAATGGCTGCCCACTGCTCCGGGTGTGTGTTCACAGTGTGTGTGTGTTCACTGCTGTGTGTGTGCACTTTGGATGGGATAAATGCAGAGCACTAATTCCGAGTATGGGTCACCATACTTGGCCACATGTCACTTCACTTTTTTTTTTTTTTTTTCTGCTCACATAGGGTCTCATAAACTCTCCACAGGACTTTCTCACCAGTGTTGCACACTCACACATGTACGGTCGCTCTGGGCTGTCAGTAATGAGTCCAGAACCCCAGACTCAGAGCAGCAGACGCAGGGTTTCCCTCAGGGGTCAGAGGTCATGCTGGTTTGGGACAGGAAGCCTGCTGCGCTGGACTCTGCTGGGCCCTCAGTGGCTCTGCTCTCCCGCCAGTGTGCCGTTTGATACTGACCTGCTTTATGTCACAGAACACAGTCTATAAATCTCTCTCTGCTTCCTTTTGTAGCGGAAGAAACTTGAGCGTTCAGGTGAAAATGAACACGCAGATCTCCTGCAGAGAGCCAGGGGCTCCGTTCATATATGTGTGTGTGTGTGTGTGTGTGTGTTGCACACATATTTAACTCTATGACATCCTTTGCTTGATTTTAAAGACTATTCAAATCATGGATATTACAGATCACACACATTTTCAGCCCTTGTGTGTGTGATACAGTAATAGTGAATCCGATCAAACCTATATATAGCATATGTGTCTTGCTCCTTAGGAACTCTGGGAGTGGTGACTGAAGTCACACTGAAGATACGACCCATTCCTGAGTATCAGAAGTACGGCTCCGTTGTCTTCCCAAACTTCCAGCAGGGTGTGGCGTGCCTGAGAGAGGTGGCCAGACAGGTCAGTACTGGACTTCATGGGACTCAAAAAATGATCAAACAGTAATATTGAAATACTATTACAGTTTAAAATGTTTTCTATTTGAATACATTTTAAAATGTAATTTATTCCTGTAATTTCAAAGGTGAATTTTCATCTTTACTCCAGTCTTCAGGCCCTTACGAAAATTAACCATGGATTTACAAAAAAAAACAAAAAACATATGGTTATTGTAGTTAAATCTTGGTAATCACAAATTAACCATGGTTCTGCTACACTAACCATAGTTTAACCCACCAAATAACTTTTTTTACACTTTTACTATAATAAAACCATGGTTAATTTTCAAGGCGTGTCACATGATCCTTCAAAAATCATCCTAATATGCGGAGTTGCTCAAGAAGCGTTTCTTATCCGTGTTGAAAACCATTTTTGCTGTCTAATATTTTTGTAAGAAACGTGATATATTTTGTCAGCATGTCTTCGAATAGCAATAACATTATAAATGTCTTTACTGTCGCTGTCACAGGGTTTTACCACGTTTTATGTTTTAGCATAATTTTAGCTTGTTTTAGTCCATCGCTAACATGTTGCTAGCATGTTTTAACATGTTTACAGCATGTTTCTAGCACATTTTAACACTAACCGCTAACATGTTGCTTTGATGTTTCAGCATGATGATAACATGCTAATTTACAAATTAGCACATTGTTAACATATTTCTTGGATGTTTCAGCATGATGATAGCATGGTTTAGTGTGTTTATAAGGTCAGTACTGGACTTCATGGGACTCAAAAAATGATCAAACAGTAATATTGAAATACTATTACAGTTTAAAATGTTTTCTATTTGAATACATTTTAAAATGTAATTTATTCCTGTAATTTCAAAGGTGAATTTTCATCTTTACTCCAGTCTTCAGGCCCTTACGAAAATTAACCATGGATTTACAAAAAAAAACAAAAAACATATGGTTATTGTAGTTAAATCTTGGTAATCACAAATTAACCATGGTTCTGCTACACTAACCATAGTTTAACCTACCAAATAACTTTTTTTACACTTTTACTATAATAAAACCATGGTAAATTTTCAAGGCGTGTCACATGATCCTTCAAAAATCATCCTAATATGCGGAGTTGCTCAAGAAGCGTTTCTTATCCGTGTTGAAAACCATTTTTGCTGTCTAATATTTTTGTAAGAAACGTGATATATTTTGTCAGCATGTCTTCGAATAGCAATAACATTATAAATGTCTTTACTGTCGCTGTCACAGGGTTTTACCACGTTTTATGTTTTAGCATAATTTTAGCTTGTTTTAGTCCATCGCTAACATGTTGCTAGCATGTTTTAACATGTTTACAGCATGTTTCTAGCACATTTTAACACTAACCGCTAACATGTTGCTTTGATGTTTCAGCATGATGATAACATACTAATTTACAAATTAGCACATTGTTAACATATTTCTTGGATGTTTCAGCATGATGATAGCATGGTTTAGTGTGTTTATAGCACATTTTAACACGTTAGCATGCTGCTTGGATGTTTCAGCATGATGATAGCATGGTTTAGTGTGTTTATAGCACATTTTAACACGTTAGCATGCTGCTTGGATGTTTCAGCATGATGATAGCATGGTTTAGTGTGTTTATAGCACATTTTAACACGTTAGCATGCTGCTTGGATGTTTCAGCATGATGATAGCATGGTTTAGTGTGTTTATAGCACATTTTAACACGTTAGCATGCTGCTTGGATGTTTCAGCATGATGATAGCATGGTTTAGTGTGTTTATAGCACATTTTAACACGTTAGCATGCTGCTTGGATGTTTCAGCGTGATGATAGCATGGTTTAATGTGTTTATAGCACATTTTAACACATTAGCATGCTGCTTGGATGTTTCATCGTGATGATAGCATGGTTTGGTGTGTTTATAGCAGATTTTAACACGTTAGCATGCTGCTTGGATGTTTCAGCATGATTATGGTTTGGTGTGCTTATAGCACATTTTAACACGCTAGCAGCTGCTTGGATGTTTCAGCATGATGCTAGCATGGTTTGGTGTGTTTATAGCAGATTTTAACACGTTAGCATGCTGCTTGGATGTTTCAGCATGATGATAGCATGGTTTGGTGTGTTTATAGCACATTTTAACACGTTAGCATGCTGCTTGGATGTTTCAGCATGATGATAGCATGGTTTATTGTGTTTATAGAACATTTTAACACGTTAATATGCTGCTTGGATGTTTCAGCATGATTATAGCATTGTTTGGTGTGTTTATAGCACATTTTAACATGTTAGCATGCTGCTTGGATGTTTCAGCATGATGGCATGTGCTAGCGCACTTTAACATGGAAATCTTTTGTGACGTTATAAATGTCCTTTCACTTTTTTTCAGCTTGATTTCATTGCTGAATAAAAGTATGAACTTCTTTAAAACATCTTGCTGACCTCAGACCTTTGAATGCTACTGTATGTATTTAGCATTAAGTAGGCTATACCAAAAATATAAATGACACTGGTATAATTATGTTATATAATATTAACTGATTTAGGCTTACTAGTATCTTAACTGATATATTGTGCATCTGCACGTCTTTCATGCCGTATGACTGCTGTGTGTATTTGAGTGCTGCTATGGCATGTCTGTTTGAGAGCAGCATTGACTGGAAGGCTGGGATCTGTGTGAATGTGGTGAATAAGGCTGCGGCTCTCATTACAGTGTGTGTACCTGGAGCTCTGCTCAGACTCTGCCTAATGGCCTTAGATCTCGGCCTCTCATTAGTCTGTGGGCCTGCTGCTGATGTTGTAGCCATTATTGATGAGCGAGCGCAGTGTTAGCGTTCTGTACAGCACTGCTTCTTATTAGTCCATAAACAAACTGTGATCCAAACTTAAAATTAAATTATTGATTATGCTATTCAGGACCTACACTGTTCCTCTCTCTGCGTTTCTCTTTGCCCAAGGCTGCCTTTAAAAAATAAGGCTTTATTTTAATTGGAATATCATCTTGCTGTTGTGTTGGTGTTTCCTAAAAAATACTTGCTGGGCAATGATAACAATATTGTAGGTTTGTTTTAAACTATGGGTGAGGGTCATTTATACATCTCCATGTATTACTTTGTTTCTGTCTGAAGTTTCTTTTTCTTTATTTTTGGTTTCAGAGATGCGCTCCAGCATCCATTCGGCTAATGGACAACGAGCAGTTTCAGTTTGGTGAGTTTTGTTTTTCATTCATATTCTGTGGAACATAAAAGATATTTTGAAGAGTCTTTACACCGCTCTTTTACAGTGACTGTTCATAGTGAGGAGCTTCAGAAAGGAACAAAAAAAGTCACAACAAAGCAGCAGTAGTCCAAGCGACGCTGATAATCTTCCCTTCCATTGAGCTTTTAGCTTAATATGATCAACGAATAAGGATTTTCTGGTCAGTTGTAACTGTGAACTCACGAACTGGATCACTAAACGCTTTCAGTCTTGATTTGAACCGTGTGAACAAGTACAAAAGATCCACGTCTTTTCTGACTTGTTAGTATAAAGTTTTGCTTGAAACAGAAGAAATTTTGGGGTGAGCTACTCCTTTAAATTAGGGTTTCCCAAGCTGAAGAATGTGGATAACCAAACTGTTTCGGGTCCCATTGACTTTTTTTTTGTCCGAACAGTGGAAATCATTTGGTTCATCAAACCATTTGGTTACCGACATTCTTTAAAATATCTCCTTAACAGAAGAATGCTAGTCGTGCAGATTTGGAATGACATGAGTGTGAGAGAACTATCCCTTTATTCTCAGGGGTTACTTCAAGAAAATATTTCATGTCAAAGGTGACTAAAAAGTTTGGAATCCCTGATTTAAATAATGAAAAAGTAATACATTTCTATTTTTTCTATTCAATTTCTAATAATTTAATTTAGTGTAATTTAAAATAAAGTCTTATCCAGTCATCACGAATGATTGGGAAAGTCATGTAAAATCATTGGTCAAAAATGTTGCGGTTGCTGGGATCGTCAGAAAATGTTTTACGAAGGAGCGGGCCAAGATGAAGGGAAAACGGTGACGCAAAGCATGCCGTGTGGGAGTGCAGGGTGTGTTGTCATGGTTACAGTGCTGACTCAGAAGGGCTGGCGAGTAGTAGACCTTGTGTCCTGTGTGGGCTGATCTCAGATCAGCACTGCTCCAGCCAGAAAGAGCAGTTACACATGCAGTGATCTGTTTGCTTTGGGAAGCAATGTTTTGCAATTTACATTCACGCTTATGTGCATAGCAGATGCTTTCTTAAAGACGGCGCGTGTATTTTAAAAATAATCATGGTCCTGAACACTCATAGTGCCACTTCCTCCCTGCACCCCTCTGTCATTGTTCAGACAACAGGACTGTTATATTAAGTTAGAACCTGGGTTATGTTTTACTCAAAGTTCAAACATTACTGCTGGACCAACAAATCAGATTTAATGTGCAATTGCTGATTCATGCATGACGCAAAATACCGGAACAGACACTGGTTGATGTGAGAATGAAGATAATAATAGCATTAATATTCATTGCAGAAATCATTTAATATGCTTAATAATAATTATAATTATTATTATTATCAAAGCAATTGTGTTGCTGAATATTTTAGTGGAAACTGTGATGCATTTTTTCAGGATTCTTTTATGAATAGAAAGTTCAAAAGAACTGAATTTATTTGACATAGAAATTGTTTGTAACATTATAAATGTCTTTACTGTCACTTTTGTTCAATAAACATAATTTCTTCCTTTCCTAAAAAAAAATAAATGAAAAAATCATACTGGCCCCAAACTTTTAAATGGTAGTGTACATTACATAATTCTTCTGTAAAATCATTGTGTAAGAAACTTAATTTTATTTTGAAAACTCAATGTTATTTTTTGTTTTTGTTTATTGAACATTTATACAGTAATCTTAATGCTATTCTTTACATTTCAGTTTTACAATGAGTAACTACTCTGCCACAAACCTGATTTCAAAATCAGTTTATCATTTTAAATTATTTGTGCAAAGCCTAATTAATATTCATGAGCTAAGCCTTCATCGTTTTGTGACATCACAAACACCATTTCCACCACACTGAACTAAGTGACATCATTGTTTAGTTAGACTATTTCTATTTCCAGTCATTGACGGGTACATAATATCCTCTAGCGTTGTATATTCATAACCGAACATTACCTGAGAGTTATGAGCTGGTCATGTAATACAGGAAAACTGAGAGCACAGAGAGCCTGTGTTTCCATAACCATCAGTTACGATCCATTTCTGGCTTTAGAGACAGTTATCTGTTTTCATATTCCCATCCACAGAGATGAATTGGAAGGTTTAGCATTTGAGAGCTTTGTTTTGGTTTTTATTACTTGTTGTTGTTGTTGTTTTGTGTATTCATTACATCAAGAGGTTTAATTTGGTCTGGTGTAATTTATCTCTGGAGAACCCCCCACTCGCGCCGCCTCGTATAAAGAGAAATTGATCTTTATTTTACCAGCTGAGCAGCGAACGAATGCACAAACACACAATTCAGGAACAATGAAAAATGGCCCTGGCAGCAATTAAGCTCACAGTGCAGCCGAGGTTTATAACGTTACATGCGGAGATATGGGGGAATTTGTGAGGGGTTGCCAGATATGTCTGGAAAAGTTCCCCCCGTCCCCAGGGATCTCATTAACTCTGTGTTTTCATCGACGGTGCACTTCTGAGAGGCAGAGAGATGTATTGACTCTTTAATGAAGACTCCAGTCTCTGTAATCATAATGGTTTTTGCAGCATGCACACTCTTTAAGCCCAGAAGTGTGACTGTATTATTTTTATATCGAATCGCAACCAGAAGAAAAAGGGAGGTAATGAGTGCTGTAGTGCGTTCAGACACATTGGCTGTGTAATCTCAGAAAGGCATTGTAAGGGTTTGGACAACTAAAGGTCGCTGGGGCAGAATGTGACTGAAATGACTGAAAATCTGTTCTATGTAAGTGTTACTGTACCGCAAAGTGTATGATCAAAACATTATGTCACTGGATTAATACTTTTTTCAGGATTAGAAATAGATGAATAGAAAGTTGAAAAGAACAGCACTTTTGGTAACATTATAGGAGTCCGTATTATAAAACATTGTCACTTTTGATCAATTTCATGCATCCTTACAGAATAAAAGTATTAAAAAAACATTATAATAAAAAATAATTAATTAATGACCCCAAACTGTTTAATTTTAGTTTATATTGATGGAATTAATAATAAAAAAAAAATGTATGTATTGCCTAACTGTGGTAATGCCTGTTTTGGGGTAATTCAGTGAATTAAATATCATATGTGACCCTGGAGCACAAAAGCAGTCTTAAGTCGCTGGGGTATATTTGTAGCAATAGCCAAAAATACATTGTATGGGTCAAAATGATCGATTTTTCTTTTATGCCAAAAATCATTAGGATATTAAGTAAAGATCATGTTCCATGAAGATATTTTGTAAATTTCCTACCGTAGATATATCAAAACTTAATTTTTGATTAGTAATATGCATTGCTAAGAACTTCATTTGGATAACTTTAAAGGCGATTTTCTCAATATTTTGATATTTTTGCACCCTCAGATTCCAGATTTTCAAATAGTTGTATCTCGGCCAAATATTGTCCTCCTATCCTAACAAACCATACATCAATGGAAAGCTTATTTATTGTATAAATCTCAATTTTAAAAAATTGACCCTTATGACTGGTTTTGTGGTCCAGGGTGACAAATGTAAATTAAAGGAACTACGACTCATTGGATCATGTTCTTTTTTATTATTATTATTATTAGTAGTAGTATTTTTATTTTATTTATTATGCCAAACTACAAAAAAAAGGACACATTTTGAAAACTTAAAAACTTAAACTAAAAATTAAAGTTCATACTCATTTTACAAAATGAGTAAAGATATTGCATTTTTATAAATATTTTGTTTAGGCCTAATTCTGATTGGGTGAAGTATATTTGAAGCTGTTGCAAAATAGCTAATATTTACACTGTTACTGTACAACTTTTGAATTTTTTAATAATGCAGCAAGTTGTGACGTTATACAGCATCCACAAACTAAAACTAAATTCACTTAGATGCCTTACTTAAGTCTTCACGACTTATTTGGGACGCGTCCCACTCTGTTTTGTCACATTTCTGTATGTTTCTTAGTCATTCATGTGTGTAAATACTGATAGCCATGCAAATATATGTACCAAGGTACAAGTGATATTGCAAAACCAGAAGACACATCACATTTCTACTATTGAATGGCATCATCATAGCGGCCAGCGCTGAGAGACCGTATAGCAGATGGGAAATGATAGCGAGAGACAGGGGGAGTGTGAGTGGACACAACATGAGCCGCGGTTGAACTTGTGTCTCCCACATTAGCATGCTAACCGCTAGGCCACGGCTGGGACATTAGCATGTTTGATCAATTTCTCACACAGATTCATGTCAGTTTTCAGTCGATTTGAATTAATCAGAGATTTTGTTCGTTCTGCGGTGAATCGGACTGCATGTGTGAGATTTAGCGGCGTTTCTTATCAGAGGAGCTGCTATCAGGATGATTTATGACAAGCCCCCTGTGAAACATCCTCCCTGCGTTCCCTCTCGCTCTTTCTCTCTCTGTGTCTCCAGTCATTACTGTGCTATTGTTCACACCGCTAATAAATCTGACACAAAGGCCTCTGGGAAATCCAAGGGGCAAAACTGAGGGATGTTTGGTGACATTAGAACAGTACGAGAGTCATTAGTTTCTCCTTTTTTAAAGAGAGGAAAGCTTTTGACTGAAAACACAACCCCTGACAAAAAAAGGGGGAAAAAAACGAAATGAGTGGGTATTTAATACTGAGGTTTATTGAAGATTGTACTAATGTTTTGACAGGTCACGCACTCAAGCCTCAAGTGTCCTCCATATTCACGTCATTCTTGGACGGGTTGAAAAAATTCTACATCACAAAGGTGAGAAAGAACCGTAAATGTGTGTCAAGACCACAATTAGATACTATTACACCGCTCTCTAGAACGCTCCATTCTGATTGGTCAGTCACAGTATTCTGCATTTAAAGCAAGAAGCATTTGCAAGATTTAATTTTATGCACTGATATAATCAGCTCGTGAAAAGTAGGCTATATAATTATTGGTTAATAATTGTTTTAGTCACCCACACAGCCTTGAAATGAAACATCCTAGTATGTTCCTCCTTAAATTGGTCGATTGAATATTGATGGAGTGAACAGAATCTGACCATCAGAACTTAAATATAAGTGTTTGTTTGTGTTTTTATTTATTTATTTGTGTTTGTGTGTGTGTGTGTGTTTTGGACAAAAACACAACGTAGTAATATTCTTTTATCCCACCCAAACAGCCTTGAAATGAAATCAGAATATGAAAACTTATTTTAGAGGCGGAGCATCTAAAGCATCCCAGGATGCATTTCATGAAGTTGGCTGATTGAATCTCTATAGAGTGAGCAGAATCAGACAAAGAAACCTAAATGTGAGTGTGTTTAGTTTAGTTTAGTTTTGTGTTTTGTTTTTTCGTTTTTGTGTGTGTTTTGTTTTGTGTTTTGTTTGGTTTGTGTTTTTTGTTTTGTTTTGATTTTAGTTTTTTTTTTTATAAATGTGTTTTGTTTTTGTTTCGTTTTGTGTTTTGATCAGAATATGAAAACTTATTTTAGAGGCGGAGCATCTAAAGCATCCCAGGATGCATTTCATGAAGTTGGCTGATTGAATCTCTATAGAGTGAGCAGAATCAGACAAAGAAACCTAAATGTGAGTGTGTTTAGTTTAGTTTAGTTTTGTGTTTTCGTTTTTTTGTGTTTTGTTTTGTTTTGTGTTTTGTTTGGTTTGTGTTTCTTGTTTTGTTTTGATTTTAGTTTTTTAGTTTTTTTTATAAATGTGTTTTGTTTTTGTTTTGTTTTCATGAAGTTGGCTGATTGAATCTCTATAGAGTGAGCAGAATCAGACAAAGAAACCTAAATGTGAGTGTATTTAGTTTAGTTTTATTTTTTTATTTATTTTTTATTTATTTATTTTTATTTATTTATTTTTTTTTTTT